AAGGAGTTGGAAGTCGATATGAATGGTTCATATTAATTGTGATTTTGTTCGGCGTTTTTTTTTTGAATTTCTATTTAAAGTTTGGTATTATTATCCCTGGATCGATAGTTTACCGAATTAAGATATATATATTAATAAGTGTACTGAATAATATAAGATATTAATTTACGGTGATGGTTAGGGGTAGTTGAAAGGAAGCCCTAGACCTAGGTTCCGTCCTGTTTGGCACTTGTCAACAAAGTGTAATTATAACCTTGAGGGAACTGATGCTTCCTGCGGATTGGGTTTCGTATCGCCTAGCATCACAATCAGACGTTACCAATGATCTATCCGAGCCGCAACTGACCTCTAGTAAGACTGAGTTATATTTACAATCGATTGATCACTAGTAATCAATGTCATGTGTGGTAGGTCTTTCTCAGTGCAGATCAAGTTGGAATATGGCCACTAGTCTAGATAACTTCACATCGCCTACACTATGTTATGATGTAAGTTGGTGTTTGGAGATAGTCGATATAGTACATACGATTTTGGGTCACCTAGGCTTGTAGTCACATTTCAACTAGATCAATAGTATTCTATCTGAACTAAGGATCTGACACACATGACATTGGTAAATATCCATTGATCGACTAGTTGTAAATGTCAATATACACGAATTTATAGATTGTTCACATTGATTTTTTAATACTTCTACTATATTGAATTGATAAGGATTTTTAGAGACGCCACTAACTTTGCAGGAAATACTGTTGTTTAAATTCTTTAGAATATCAGTCAGTTACAACGTAGGACCAGACACACACATGCATTGATCCAAGTTGCCATACCGCATTAGCACAGCAAGATTAACACCAGATTCATAGGAGTGGTTAAGTCAATGGTAGTAATATATAAAATAAAGATTGGAAATAAGGATATAGTACAGGAAGAGAGAATTAGTCCGTAGAAAGAAAGATATGAAGTGATTTTAATCTCTTAGTTTAAGGGAAGACAGGGAGTGTATACACCAACGCCATTGTGATCGATTCTGAGCCATGTCACCCACAGTATCCAACCATTGGTTACGATAGTCACGCGGATCCCAACAAAGTAGTCTGCATCTATCAATATGGTTCAGACTAGAAGTTAGTGACTTCAAGGAGTGATGCCACGTTTTGGTTTGGCCGCTTCTAACTTTCGTCCAACCATCCCCAACACTAGTCAGCATTGCGAGTTGTGGTAATCGGTGTTCAGGCATATGTAACACGTGGCCAAACCATCTCAGTCGATGTAAGTTGACAACCTCATTAACTGATTTACTATCATTCTTTAATTCCCTGCGTTTAACCTCACTATTACTTACTCGGTGATTCCAACAGACGCCAGCAAGTCCGACCACCACGTCAAGGTAGCAACAACGGTCGGGAAATACTTAAGAATATCCCATTTCTTTATTCAAGAAAACGTTGAATATGTTCTCAATAATAAGTTAACTTGATCAATCTATTTCCTCAGTCTTCGGATATTCATTTTTAAGCACCAAAATGTATTGATTTGTTGAAATTCAATCATCAATTTTATTGAATTTAGAAAATAACTACTTGAGTCACATGATACATGTATGATTGGTATGAAGAATAATCTAAGTCAATAAAAATTGGTTAGTAACTGTGATGTTAATATTGTTTCTTTCATTTTTTTTCTTTTCATTTCAATACGATCAATATATACGATATTTTGTTGAATGACAGTGATATAATTATAAGTTAAATAAAGGTTATATGATAAATGACTTTAGTAAGAAATTTTAATATCAGGACTCAGTAACTAAGTGAATAACGCCAATGACGTTTGATGCGAACGATACTGAGTTCGAGTCCTAAAGGAAATATCAACTCTGAAATGCAGGTACATCTAGTTGACGAGTTCCCAAATAGGACGAAATGCGCATCAAACTGAATTCCACTGCTAGTCACTATCCATCTTTGTATGTATATATATGCCAATGAGAGACTGATCAATTGTAGTCCTTAAACAACAATAGGAAGATTCAAATAAGACAATACCAAGTGAATTGTGAAGTTTAGTATCGTTGTAAAATTCTTTTTGATTTGACACGGGAGTATTCAATAGGTGAATTGTTAACATTCAATGATCCATTTATATACTACTCATAAATCATTACTGCCCAAATAAGTAGTAGGCTTTTTTTGTCAGTTCTTAGGTGTATCTTAGATAATTTTCTTAATATATGATAGTTTATTATTTCAACTGAATCACACAGATAAAAATGTTTAGAAGATGCCATTGTATACAAATAACTTCATTATTAGATTTACAGAACAGAATACTTAATTATAAGTAAGATACTGGAAAGTTGTTTGATGGAGATGGTATGTAACTTGTTTGTGGATTAACTCCTGTATTTGAATTATTTCACAATAGTGTCAACTCTATTTATACAATATTAAAGTGGAAATGTTACTATAGTACACATCTGCATATAGTGAGATAAACCCTACTTTCACTTTTTCTTCTGGTGGTCGATTGGATTATGAAAACTCCCACATCTCAAATGACCTAGCTCTTCTATCCTACACACAGCAACAAATGCAGGTAAAGATAGTCAGTGTAGCAGTAACTGTTACAACAGTACGCCTCAACATACGAGAAAAAGCAAGATCCTGAAGTGTTACACCAACTGATGACAGTCATTGATTTCAATCATTTTCAAAAACTGAACTTGACATTACAAAAAGCTCTGGTACAATCGAGATCCGCTCTCCTTTAGGAAACGCCCCCATGCACCTTCGCGTTTAGTCTGTCAAGGAAGTCCCATTGTCTTTAGACGAGTTTTTTTTTGCGAACGTGAGAGGAATAAAGGAGTGAGTCTGATCTTTAAGCCCGGTTGGATGCAGAGTCGACCTAGCGTACATTGGTCTCAGAATCCTAAGCGGACGAATGATGTATGAACCTAGTTTGGTCCCCGACTCCTGTAGTACTGGATCAGTTGACAGCGCTCTACTCTATGAAGCATTAAACGTTTAAGCCAAAGGCTCGTTGAGTCGCCACCTAAGAATATCGTGTTTCTACTTGGTTGTCCAAACCATAACCAGGCCATATTTAGTTATGGTAATCGACTATAAAATTTGTACAAATCAGTCAATCAAATGAAGAAAACTTTTCAGTGAAACAGAAATATGCGAACAAGTCCTTGATGTCTTGGGACCTAGTGAATGCTACAGTTATTGTTATGCAACAAAGGAAGTCATCGATTTACTCTTCCTGTACCAGTGGGACTTCAGTTTTATTACTGGTAAAATACTTCAGCCTGAAAAAGCTGTATTGCCTTTTAATATCAGAAAGAAAAGACAAGTTTGTAGTCAACTTCATTAAATTTCTGAACATGTACTTCAAGATAACTACTACACGGTTTCATCATTACACCGGGTTTTCCTAAGCAAACTGAATACTATCAGAAGGGATTTTGTGAATATTATGGTAATTTTAATAATTGGGATTATGAATCAATTGAAGCCAGACCACCATGGAAAACCTGGACGGTCATTTCGTCCTGCTTAACCCTTAGACCACTGAGTTGGCAACTTAATATCTAACTTCAACTAATCCACAAAATTGAGCGATACATCCACCATTGTCTTCAGTAAGTTACTATCTCACAACAAACTAGGTTGAACTTCACTAGTCACTGCTTCTCATTAGAATTCCAAGACAAAACGGCAGTCCAGCTCTTCTAGGTTTTCCATAGTGATCTAGCTTCAATTGACCCATGATCTCAATTATTAAAAACGGAATGCTCTCATGTTTACTTCTATACACTTCATATTAAGCATGATTTATCATATAGTTGAAAATCTTCAATTTAAACTAATGTGAAAGTGTTGTAGTGTCGGTTATTAATGTTAAGCCCATATACCTTATTCTAGCTTTCGGACAGCCCATTCTATTCATTCTACTTGAGCCACATTCTGACCTTGTTATTGATTCGCTTATCAATCTTGACGGTTTTTATATGAGCGCGTAGGTGTGTGTACATTTCTTATCCCATTACTCATCACATGTCTGTAACTTACTTTTGTGTAACTATAAATATTGATTAACGCTTGGTTAAAGGGAAGTTGGCTTACCAGCCATCTCCACTGCACGTCGTTTCTCTTCTCTCTATTCCATTCGCTTTATATACAAACTATATGTATTCAAAAGTCCATTCTCGTTATTTGACTTATCTAAATCCGTTATTGACTAACGCGATTAAAGTCGATGATTATATACAAGAATAAGCGACATATAAGTTTAAACAACAATCATCATTACAATCACCTTGGAGTCAGATGTCGGGCCACTAAAGTGGAGAACCCTTTCGACAACATTGTTCAATCTAAATGACGATTAAATAACGGGACTCCACAGTGTATACCAACTTATTATTATGATCAGGAATTAGGAACAAATGAATAATCTTTGTAAAATAAATATGAATTCTATTGTTCATTTTCTAGAATATAACTTTTATTATTATTATTATTATTATTATTATTATTGTTATTATTATTAAAGTAGTATTGTTAACAAGAAGAAAAAGGAAGGCAAAAATCGAAATTACAAGTAATTTACAATGAATAAAAGTTGACTTGAAAAGAAATTTAGAGCAAATGAAATAGAAGAAGCATCGGTTCAAACCACACAGCAACAACAACAACAAAAGAAAAAAAATCAAAGAGGTTGAGCATGCTATAACACCTACAATACATGCATACATCCCCCCCTCATTACAACAAATGCATATACATTAGTAATTCATATGTGTACATATAATATATATATATATATATATATATATATTAAGATGATAGGGTTTGTCCCCCCCCCCGCCAAAAAAGAATAAATAAACAACAGGAAACTAAACATAATTCAATTAATCAACTAGTCAGATAAATATTTTTATTAAATGACTAGATTTGAAAATTACAAAAAAAAGTCGACGTAAGGGGGACACATGTTGCTATACTGATAGATGTAGAAGTGTGTGCGTGTATGTCTGTGTATTTCACATAGAAACGAGAAGAAAGAAAGATTATTCTATTCTGTCTACATTATGAGAAGCGAATAAGACGAAGAACTAAGTTCAACTACATTTTTATGTGAATTAATTTGAAATGATCTTTTGTACAGTTGGTTCAGAAATTAAAAAACGTAAAATATCTGATAGTGAAACAATACCTAATACTTTGTTATCCTTAACAATTACTAAACGATGTACCTGAGAAAGAAAAGTGGATTGAAAAGAAGAAAAAGTGTATATATATATATAGAGAGAGATAGTGATGGGGTTTACTACTATTTCGATTCTGGTCCCACGTTTCTAGGATCCACCCTTTCGTTACTACTACATTACATGGAGCCAGTTAAAAAGAAAGTGAAAAGTTTATCATCTATGCCCTACTGTCATGGTATATGATAGAGAAGTTACAAAGCTGTGAGCATCCGTGATCACTTAAATTTTAGACTAAAGCACTGTCATCTAAGGATATATCTATCCAGCTACAATCTCCATAAACCCATTATGCTAATAATAATCATGTATCCATTAGTAACTGGTTTGATGATGCAATTTCTGGAGTCCTAGTAAGAAGCTGTAATCAGTAGAGTTCAACCACATCAGATCTAAGACAGTTATCCACCATCGACAATGGCAAATGAAAGTGCGACATCGCAAAGTGAATGAAGTTAGACATGTACATTATTGATTTGTTTAGGTTATCGTGTAGATTTAGTCTGGTTTTATTAAGAGCGGCTAGAAAGTTGTATCAAACATTGAATTAACAAGACTTATCACTTACTAATTCAAATGTTAAGCGTTGCCAATGGTGGTTCAACGAACATGGATTTGTAATTGAACCTACGAAAATTCTACAATCTCCGCAAACGTCCTACACTTAGAGAGATCTGTTTATAAAGCTTTCACTTTCCTCATCATTGAATACTGATTAATGATGATTAGTCAAAATGAATGTATGATCTACACCACAAGTATGCATGAGGTCAATATATGTACATTGTATATATTTCAGCATAGTAATCTGAAATTATCAAGGAGTTTAGATAATAACAATGAGACATTCACCAAAAACTATTTCAAGGCATACCTTAACAAATATCAATAAGAAATATGCTTAATGTATAAGCTGTTACAGAACTTTACTCAATAGTCTAATAGGAAATGCTACATTATCTGAAACGACAAATAAACATAAACGCACTGGAATGTGATTGTGTATTCAATTGCCATATTCCAGTTATTTACTTAGAAATTTAACATTTTACTAATATGTTCAATAACTTTGTCAAACAAACAAAAAATGATAATTTAATTGTTAAACAAACTAAGAATCTCGGTATTGACTTACACCAGCGTCGACAATTCTATTCACAATCACTTCCAAAGTATCGTCTAATTGACATGTTGCAACACCTTGGAATTTCTATATAAAAATTATAAGAAAAATAAGAAACTAAGAATTAAAACAAGGAAAATGTATAGACTAGTTGTATTTTTAATGATTCGGTGTATGTATTGATTGTGTGTGTGTGGTGCTTGTGTCGAAACCAACCTCAAATGTGTACATGCGTGATAAGACGTCGTGGAAACAATTGAATTATTTTAAGTTTAAAAATGTGAAGATGCATTGAGAAAAATTGCTAGTTGAACTGTGTTATATTGGTTCAACACCATTGCCTCCTTCGATGCGCGATGGTGGGTCTTGGAGGTGTAAGTTATAAGAAAGTTAGAGGGAGTCAAATTAAAATTTGTGAGATGAAGATCATGTGATTGGGGTTCATGAAATGATTGTGATCTTAAGTGATATAGATCAAAATCGACTGAAGTGACCAATCAAAAACAAAAAAGGTGACCTGCTTGAATATCTGGGCTACCTGTTCCTGCCATCTAGATATTCTAACAAGTTATCTGTTTCTTTGTTTGTTGTAACAGATCATTATGTCAATTAATTGCATAACCGATTCAGGTGCGTTTGTGAAATGTTTACGACCTTTCACTGTACAAGTCACTAAAACGTACAATTGGAGATATAGTGGTTGCTGGCAACATGTATTAAAGAGGATGAACGTTAATCAGATGTCGATTCTTGAACTGCTAATATCTAACTGGTGACCATTCATTATTTATTGTCAGGATCGATCAAATAATAAAAAAAACGGGAAACTCGCTGAAACACCTTGTGCTGAGAGTTCTATATTATAACAAAAATATAATATTGAACAAAACTAATAAATAAGTGAAAGTATACTGCATTGATGGCCTTCAAGGACTGTAAAAATGACCTTGAAGACAACTTCGATTCCTAGCCAATAAGAATGTCAATAATATAAATGTATCGGATATAAGACCCAACAAACGTTAGGTAGAAAGGTTATGTTAAATAGTTGACAATGAATGAATGAACATTAAAAAATGACAACTCTTCGATTTCGAACATCAACAAACTAAAAATACACTTGAAAAGTTCATAAACTGAATTTTCTATTCTTTAGTATTTTCATATTTATTCATGTCAACAGTTTTATTAATAATGAAACTGATAGGTCCTGGGTTCGAATCTCGCCGGAGGGGGCGGGATCATGGATGGGAACTGTTGAAGAGTCCCATGCTAGGACGAAACGGCAGTCCAGTGCTTCCAGGTTTTCTATGGTGGTCTAGCTTCAATTGACTCATGATTTTAACCAGTGAAATAATGAAGATATTATCAGTATGGGATTGTGGAGATGATTATGTTTTTTTTATTTAGAGCATAAATCGATTAATGTTAAACCATCACTAAAAACTTAGAAGCACTGGATGGCCGTTTCGTCTTATTGTAGAACTCCTCAACAGTGTGCATCCATGATCGCTCTAGTGGGATTCGATAAAGAAAAAAAACAAACTATTCATATGGAAATCTAGAAACGACTCAATATTTTAAAGGTTAAACATGATCATACAAATAAATGAACACCTATGTACATTAAAATAGTTTCATTGAGCACAAAAACAGAAAATACAAAAAAAAACAATAAACTAATCAATCAATCAATCGATCGATCAATTAATCAATTCAATTTAATCATTATACATGAATCAAATACTCAATAATAATCATAATCATAAAATTCAATAAACATGAGAATAATAACAACAACAACAACAAAGAAAAGGACACTTAGAAACAATCCATATCAATCGATATATACAAATGAATAGAAAAGACAATCAATTTGTACTAATAAATAGAAGAATATAAAATAGTTTCTATGATTGATGTGATCATTATGATGTGTATATGTTAGTGTATGAATGAACAGAATACCTTTTCTTCTTCTTAAAAAAATAAAGAAAAGATTGAATATGAAATAATATAACAGACATTAGGTTGTATAAAGTTGATGATGTATAACATTTCACTAAATCTCAGCAGGGGTTTTGTGGATATTATTAGTAATTTCAATAGTTGAGATCATGAGCCAATTGAAGCTAGATCACTATGGAAAACGTGAAAGAACTGGACGGCCGTTTCGTCCCATTGTGGGACTCCTTAGTAGTGCGCATTCACGATCCCGCCTCGCGAGATTTGGACCTAGGACTACAGACATCTGATGAATAGGCTAAGAAGTGTACATTCACATACGCTCATATAATAAAAATAAAATAATTAATAAGTTCAAAATGTAACTCCTAAAGAATGGATAAATTGGCCTGTCCAGAGGCTGGAATAAGTTATATGGGCTAAACATAGTAACCGACACCACAAGTATTAGAGATTCGAATGTTGTGCTTTTTTCAATCATCTGGCATATCAGATTGCACTACATACGAGATATGTACAGAGTAAACGTATGTGGATTCTAGCCAAATTCATCATCCCTGTTTCAATAATGAAATACATCTTAGAGTTCATTAAGTGAAAGTTTTTATTTTCATCATGAAGATACCTACTGAAAAATAGAAAAGATGGGAACAACTGGTTTTTCCTCTTTAAACTTTTGGATTTATAATCGATTTGACGATATCCCAATATCTTTTGATAAGCATGATAATCTCATTGCGGTACTAAGAACTTAATAATATGACCCGAATTAAATTCTTACTTAATGGTATTATAATTGCCAAGATCGAAAAGCTCATGTAATTTGTGGATGTGGATGAAATAGTGAATGGCTCTTAGTGACTTCTGAATTTCAACGCTTAATTTGAACAATACATACTTCATGTTTTATGTTAAGTAAACAGTTCTTTAAATATATCTACGATGAAATACTTGCAAATACATATTTTCTACCTGTAAAGGCCATGTTTCAAAGCTATAATGTCATGTTGTGTAAAATGCTACACAGTATATTCACCAACCCTGCAGCTAAGACATAGAAATTTCATGTAAGCCATAGTTAGTGTAGATGGATAAAAGCCAATTAATCTTACTGTATCCCAATTGCATATTTATAGCCTTCATCAGAAAAGTCCTACTCAATAGCTTCAACTGTAGAGACATTTGAACGGAAATGAAGGGACCGAAAACGGAATACTCATGCTTAAACTGAGCTGACGAATAATGATAATTATTATTTAAACACATAAACATTGGTACAATGAGGCACCAAGTACATATGCGCCACATAAATCATTAGATTCGTGTGAGGGCTGTGATACTGACCGGGTGCCCAGACCGAATCAGGTGGTTTTCTTTGAGGGCCACACCCCGAGCCTTCGACCTGAAGGTCTGATCCACAAGTCAGTGGAGCATCGTAAGGAGATGCAGTCCCATGGAAGCCGGTGACCGAAAATTGGTTCATACGCCACTTGTTCCTTCAGGATACTGGAGCCCATGTGCACCATTGGTTTGGAATCCGGTTAAAGTGCTGGACATTCGCTTTTCATCTTCTCAATTTCGTAAACAACACCCCTGCCACGAGAAGGTAGTGAGTAGGACTTCCCTGGCAGAGGCTGTATACGCGTGGCCGTGTGACAGCATTTCGAGAGGGCGGGCAGGCCCACCCCACTCTCGGCCATACCAGGGCATTCGGGGGCAACGAATAAAGAGAGTTCACTTATAGAAGTAAGATAAGCTTGATTTCAAATCAACGGTGTGGATAGGCTCCAGCATCCTGAATGAGTACGAACCTACTCTGGTCAGTAATTACTATTATAGGACTGGATCTTCCTAATGATACCTTGTGGATTAAACCCTTAAAACCGTTAAGCTATCCAGCACAAATACAATGATCAATACGCTACCAGTCCTCACTAATAAACTACAGTCCAATAAAAATTGAGTAAAATTATTTACCTCTTCAAAATCGAATTTCTACAACTAGAAAGTAGAACTTCATTCAAAAATATTTGTAGAAAATACATGAATAATTTGATAAGAAAAACAATTGATAATGATCGATGAATCGCAACGATTCAATTAACAGATATATATGGGCGTAACCGGGAGTTCACACTATACAATGCTAATATCTACCCTTATCCAATTTTACAACCCACATTAATAAATAAGAAAAAAAAACTTTAAGAGAATGACATTATAATATAATGGTCTTATGGAAAACAGAAAATATATTATGAATAACACAATACTACTACTACTAATAGTGAATTTATTCAGTAATACTGTACAATCTCATTGATACAATCTTAAGCTAAATGTTAAAACATGTTCATATTGTATCAAATGAATTAATCTTATTTTCTCCATACACTTTTCTCTTTTTATTATTTAACTAATTAACTTTTAGTATAGTTGACATTAGTTAGAACACTTTAAACAGTAGTATTAACTATCAAATTGAACGAAATAATAATAATAATAATAATGAGTATTTATTTAAGTTAGCCTGAACACCGATTACCACGACGTGCAATGCTAACCGGTGTTGGAGATGGTTGGAAGAAAGTTAGGAGCGGCCAAATCAAAACGTGGCATCAGTCCTTGAAGTCACTAACTTCTAGTCTGAGCCATGTTGGTAGATACAGACTACTTGGTTGGGGTCCGCGTGACTATCGTAACCAATGGTTGGAGACTCTTGGTGACATGGCTCAGAATCGATCACAATGGCGTAGGTGTATACACTCTCTGTTTTCCCTTAAACTAAGAGATAAAATCGCCTCATATCTTTCTTTCTACGAACTGATCCTTTCTTCCTGTACTATGCCCTTATATGCAATCTTTCTTTATATATTACCACCTCTGAATTAACTACTTCTATGAATCCGGTGTCCATCTTGTTGTGTTAATGAGGTATGGCAACTTGGACTGATGCATATATGTGCCTGGTCCTACGTTGTAGCTGACTGACTGTATTTATTTAAATTACAAAGAATCACTTAGACTGAAACCCCTCTGGGGCTACTGCCGGTCCAAAGTCGGGATAAAGAAGGAGAGTTGACCATGGGGATTAGCGACCCGATCTTGTAGAAAACTAACTA